CACAGGGGAGAGAGAGGCAGACACAGGGGAGAGAGAGCAGACACAGGGGGAGAGAGAGGCAGACACAGGGGAGAGAGAGGCAGACACAGGGGGGAGAGAGAGGCAGACACAGGGGAGAGAGAGAGGCAGACACAGGGGAGAGAGAGAGGCAGACACAGGGGAGAGAGAGGGCAGACACAGGGGAGAGAGAGAGCAGACACAGGGGGAGAGAGAGGCAGACACAGGGAGAGAGAGAGGCAGACACAGGGGGAGAGAGAGGCAGACACAGGGGAGAGAGAGGCAGACACAGGGGAGAGAGAGGCAGACACAGGGGAGAGAGAGGCAGACACAGGGGGAGAGAGAGGCAGACACAGGGGAGAGAGAGGCAGACACAGGGGAGAGAGAGGCAGACACAGGGGAGAGAGAGAGGCAGACACAGGGGAGAGAGAGGCAGACACAGGGAGAGAGAGAGGCAGACACAGGGGAGAGAGAGAGAGCAGACACAGGGGAGAGAGAGGCAGACACAGGGGGAGAGAGAGGCAGACACAGGGGAGAGAGAGGGCAGACACAGGGGAGAGAGAGGCAGACACAGGGGAGAGAGAGGGCAGACACAGGGGGAGAGAGGGACAGACACAGGGACACAGGGAGAGAGGCAGACACAGGGAGAGAGAGAGGCAGACACAGGGGGAGAGAGAGGCAGACACAGGGGAGAGAGAGGCAGACACAGGGGGAGAGAGAGGCAGACACAGGGGAGAGAGAGGCAGACACAGGGAGAGAGAGAGGCAGACACAGGGAGAGAGAGAGGCAGACACAGGGAGAGAGAGAGGCAGACACAGGGAGAGAGAGAGGCAGACACAGGGAGAGAGAGAGGCAGACACAGGGAGAGAGAGAGGCAGACACAGGGAGAGAGAGAGGCAGACACAGGGAGAGAGAGGCAGACACAGGGAGAGAGAGAGGCAGACACAGGGGGAGAGAGGCAGACACAGGGGGAGAGAGGCAGACACAGGGGGAGAGAGAGAGGCAGACACAGGGGAGAGAGGCAGACACAGGGAGAGAGAGGCAGACACAGGGGGAGAGAGGCAGACACAGGGAGAGAGAGAGGCAGACACAGGGGGGAGAGAGAGGCAGACACAGGGGGAGAGAGAGGCAGACACAGGGGGAGAGAGAGGCAGACACAGGGGAGAGAGAGGGCAGACACAGGGGGAGAGAGAGGCAGACACAGGGGGAGAGAGAGGCAGACACAGGGGAGAGAGAGGCAGACACAGGGGGAGAGAGAGGCAGACACAGGGGAGAGAGGCAGACACAGGGGGAGAGAGAGGCAGACACAGGGGAGAGAGGCAGACACAGGGGGAGAGAGAGGCAGACACAGGGGGGAGAGAGAGGCAGACACAGGGGAGAGAGAGGCAGACACAGGAGAGAGAGGCAGACACAGGGGGAGAGAGCAGACACAGGGGAGAGAGAGGCAGACACAGGGGGAGAGAGGCAGACACAGGGGGAGAGAGAGGCAGACACAGGGGGAGAGAGAGGCAGACACAGGGGGAGAGAGGCAGACACAGGGGAGAGAGAGGCAGACACAGGGAGGGGAGAGAGGCAGACACAGGGGGAGAGAGAGGCAGACACAGGGGAGAGAGAGAGGCAGACACAGGGGAGAGAGAGGCAGACACAGAGAGAGAGGCAGACACAGGGGGAGAGAGAGGCAGACACAGGGGAGAGAGAGAGGCAGACACAGGGAGAGAGAGAGGCAGACACAGGGAGAGAGAGAGCAGACACAGGGAGAGAGAGGCAGACACAGGGGAGAGAGAGGCAGACACAGGGGGAGAGAGAGCAGACACAGGGGAGAGAGGCAGACACAGGGAGAGAGAGGCAGACACAGGGAGAGAGAGGCAGACACAGGGAGAGAGAGAGGCAGACACAGGGAGAGAGAGGCAGACACAGGGAGAGAGAGAGCAGACACAGGGGGAGAGAGAGGCAGACACAGGGAGAGAGAGAGGAGACACAGGGAGAGAGAGCAGCAGACACAGGGGAGAGAGAGGCAGACACAGGGGAGAGAGAGGCAGACACAGGGAGAGAGAGGCAGACACAGGGAGAGAGAGAGGCAGACACAGGGAGAGAGAGAGGCAGACACAGGGAGAGAGAGAGGCAGACACAGGGAGAGAGAGAGGCAGACACAGGGGAGAGAGAGGCAGACACAGGGAGAGAGAGAGGCAGACACAGGGAGAGAGAGAGGCAGACACAGGGGAGAGAGAGGCAGACACAGGGGAGAGAGAGGCAGACACAGGGAGAGAGAGGCAGACACAGGGGAGAGAGAGGCAGACACAGGGAGAGAGAGAGGCAGACACAGGGAGAGAGAGAGGCAGACACAGGGGGAGAGAGAGGCAGACACAGGGGGAGAGAGAGGCAGACACAGGGAGAGAGAGAGGCAGACACAGGGGGAGAGAGGCAGACACAGGGGGAGAGAGAGGCAGACACAGGGGAGAGAGGCAGACACAGGGAGAGAGAGAGGCAGACACAGGGAGAGAGAGAGGCAGACACAGGGGGAGAGAGGCAGACACAGGGGGAGAGAGAGGCAGACACAGGGGGAGAGAGAGGCAGACACAGGGAGAGAGAGGCAGACACAGGGAGAGAGAGAGGCAGACACAGGGAGAGAGAGGCAGACACAGGGAGAGAGAGAGGCAGACACAGGGGAGAGAGAGGCAGACACAGGGAGAGAGAGAGGCAGACACAGGGGGAGAGAGGCAGACACAGGGGGGAGAGAGGCAGACACAGGGGAGAGAGAGGCAGACACAGGGGGAGAGAGAGGCAGACACAGGGGGAGAGGAGGAGACACAGGGGGAGAGAGGCAGACACAGGGGGAGAGAGAGGCAGACACAGGGGAGAGAGAGGCAGACACAGGGGGAGAGAGAGGCAGACACAGGGGAGAGAGAGGCAGACACAGGGGGAGAGAGAGGCAGACACAGGGGAGAGAGAGGCAGACACAGGGGAGAGAGGCAGGAGAGGCAGACACAGGGAGAGAGAGAGGCAGACACAGGGAGAGAGAGGCAGACACAGGAGAGAGAGAGGCAGACACAGGGGGAGAGAGGCAGACACAGGGGAGAGAGAGGCAGACACAGGGAGAGAGAGAGGCAGACACAGGGGAGAGAGAGAGCAGACACAGGGAGAGAGAGGCAGACACAGGGAGAGAGAGAGGCAGACACAGGGAGAGAGAGGCAGACACAGGGAGAGAGAGGCAGACACAGGGGGAGAGAGAGGCAGACACAGGGAGAGAGAGAGGCAGACACAGGGAGAGAGAGGCAGACACAGGGGAGAGAGAGGCAGACACAGGGGGAGAGAGGCAGACACAGGGAGAGAGAGAGGCAGACACAGGGAGAGAGAGAGGCAGACACAGGGGGAGAGAGAGCAGACACAGGGAGAGAGAGAGGCAGACACAGGGAGAGAGAGAGGCAGACACAGGGGGAGAGAGAGGCAGACACAGGGAGAGAGAGAGGCAGACACAGGGAGAGAGAGAGGCAGACACAGGGAGAGAGAGGCAGACACAGGGGAGAGAGAGGCAGACACAGGGAGAGAGAGGCAGACACAGGGGAGAGAGAGGCAGACACAGGGAGAGAGAGAGGCAGACACAGGGAGAGAGAGAGGCAGACACAGGGGGAGAGAGAGCAGACACAGGGAGAGAGAGAGGCAGACACAGGGAGAGAGAGAGGCAGACACAGGGGGAGAGAGGCAGACACAGGGGAGAGAGAGGCAGACACAGGGGAGAGAGGCAGACACAGGGAGAGAGAGAGCAGACACAGGGAGAGAGAGGCAGACACAGGGGAGAGAGAGAGAGGCAGACACAGGGAGAGAGAGGCAGACACAGGGAGAGAGAGAGGCAGACACAGGGAGAGAGAGGCAGACACAGGGGGAGAGAGAGGCAGACACAGGGGAGAGAGGCAGACACAGGGGGAGAGAGGGCAGACACAGGGGGAGAGAGAGGCAGACACAGGGGAGAGAGGCCGGAGAGGCAGACACAGGGGGAGAGAGAGGCAGACACAGGGAGAGAGAGAGGCAGACACAGGGAGAGAGAGAGGCAGACACAGGGAGAGAGAGAGGCAGACACAGGGAGAGAGAGGCAGACACAGGGAGAGAGAGGCAGACACAGGGAGAGAGAGGCAGACACAGGGGGGGAGAGAGGGAGACACAGGGGGAGAGAGAGGCAGACACGGCCTGGTCGCCACATCCAGGAGTCGGGGCCCTGAAAACGTCTGTATCTATTTGTTTTTTTCTGCCTCAAATACTGAGCTACTCAGTACTGTAACGGAACACAGGGGATGCATTAGAACATACTGTGTGCTCGGACCATGCATTTGTTAGCCGCGTTAGCCTTTGTAGCTAGAAGCTTGTTCTCGTTCCCCTCACACACTGATATCTGCATCCTGTAAGGCCAGGGTCGGGAACAAGTGTTGTCGACATTGACCGCAGTCTCTTCTGTTTTCATGGATGTAGTTTGTTGGTTGTAAAATGTTGCGTTTAACGCTTTGGATGAAACTAGATGTTGGGAAATTGCTAGCATTAGCCCGCTTGATTGTTTGTGTTCATTAGTCTTCAAATGTACATTTTTTTATATAAAACATCGTTATAATACATTATTATTACGCACTTATGAGCAGATATCAGGGTAACAGACAGTGCCTCTGGTTTATTATTGCAGCACGTTTAGTGTTAAACAGGATCGATGTGGACTGGACTGATCATGTTCTGCTGCATTGCTTTTTTATTTGAAAATTGAAACTTGGGTTTAATGTACAAGGAACTTTATGCATAATGAGTTGTTTTTACAATATATGCAATACCTTGATTTTGCAATCTTATACAACCGTGTAAGAAACCGTTCTCTGACGTGCTGTCTTGTGTCGGAATTTCAGAGCCATTTTTGGTTTCCCAAAACAGCTCAGGCCCGGGCCTCAGTCCGCGGTCTAGAGTTTGACTACGGGCTGCTCCTCTGAGGCATATCGGTGTGAAGTTATACTATTGCCCCATTCACCATCATGGGGGACAGTAGAGGTGGGTAAGCATGCAAGGGGAAGGACATGCATAATGTCCTTGAAAATATAAATATAATTGTGCATGAGTCTTTCATTCATATAAATGTTGTTTGTTCAGATTCTCACAGCCCAGACAGTTCGTCTGTGTCCTCCCCTCCTTCAGGACAGCGCTCCCCTCCTCTGGTGCCCTCAGCTGCAGCTTCCATGACCTCCCTGCCTCCCATCACTAGTGCAGGAGTCAATAGCCCCATCAGCAGCATCGGCTCCCCTTTCTCTGTCATCAGCTCCTCTCTGGGCTCCCCCTGCCTTCCTGGAACTCCCTCAGTGGGCTATGGCCCCATTAGCAGCCCACAGGTAAACACTTCAGTAAACACTTTACTTTATAGTTGTTTATTTCATTTCATCTGTTTATCTTGACAAGAAAACGTTTTACATGGGTGTGCGTTTCTCCAGTCTGCAATGTTCAGCTAACACAATTGCCAATCTATACGTGTGGTCATATTGAAGTCAAAAGTATGTTTCCTTCTTTGAACATCACTGCCTCTTGCTTTTGTCCAGATCAACTCGACAGTGTCTATGTCAGGGCTCCATGCAGTAAGCAGCTCCGATGATGTGAAACCTCCTTTAGGCTTGAAGCAGCTTACAGCTCACAGTCCTGGTCCAATACTGTCTCAGAAGCGTCTGTGTTCCATCTGTGGGGACAGATCCTCTGGTAAACCTAATTTAAATTTTCTACCCATTAATAAGTGCTAAGAGGATCAATATACAAAACCATTTACAGTTGAATCCCGTTTGAATTACGATCTTGTAGAAACGTAATGTGGAAATGTTATTGTTGATTAAATTAGATTATTATGTTATTTAATGTATGGGATCTCAGTGCTGGTTCATAAATATTAGGTACAGATAAAGACATTTGATTTGCCTGTAGTATTAAATCACACTCTTTCTTTGCAGGTAAGCACTATGGTGTATACAGCTGTGAAGGATGTAAAGGTTTTTTCAAGCGAACAGTGCGCAAAGATCTGACCTACACCTGCCGTGACAATAAAGACTGTATGGTGGACAAAAGACAGAGGAACCGCTGCCAGTACTGTCGCTATCAGAAGTGCCTGGCCATGGGCATGAAGAGAGAAGGTAAGCTTTCTGACATTTCAACTTAGTATTTAATATTGGTTTTCTGTCACTCATGTCATGCATTCCTCATTTGCACAAAAAGTTATTTTATTTATTTATTTTTACAGTTTGTGTTTGCTGTTGTGTTTTGTACAAATGGCTTCTTTGGGTTTTGATAGAGAAATGTAAACAAATCTGTTGATGGATAATGAAACTTGTCACACAAAGTGAAATCAAATTCAGTCAAAGAGTAATATGTTGGGCCCATTGCGCCAGAAATACCTCTACATTGACTTTTGTACAAATAAAAGTAGATAAAAAAATATTTTTAAGCTTAATATTTTGTGCACACGTTTTTTCCCTTAGTTTCATAAGATTTCAGAAACAGACCCTATACTAGTAAGCAAATGTTTCTCTCTGGTCTTTTTTTGTTGCAGCTTTTGTCGTTTTACATTTTTTATCAATATATTTAATGTAGCAAATATCACAATTCAAAGTGTGTTATTGCCACAGACCTAGCTTTCAGCCCACTTTATGAAGGATCGATGTTCCTAAATACGAGGGCAATAGTTTAGCGGTCGAGGGGGGGTTGGGGGTGGAAAATAAGTACAAACACTAACCCCCTCTCCCCCTCTCTGCCTTTTTGTTTCCTCGATCTCTCTCCCTCTTCCCTTCTGTAGTGGCCGAGATGAACGTCAGATGTAAGACAAAGAGGAAGGAAGGGGTGTGTGTGTGACTGTGCGAATGAACAATTCACATTGGCTGTGTCACTGTACTCCACACAGGGCACTATTTAGGGCTCTTGCCATTTTAAGTGGAAAGTGATGGACAGCAAAAGTCATTAGGGGAATATAGACCACAAAGAAGTGCAGGTAATCGCAAACAACTGCAGGGGACAGAAGCACCAATGAAAGAAAGCAAATAAAAGAGAAGAGATGATTGGAGTGAACTTTCTCTTAAGGATGAACCAATTTAGCCTAAACATGTTTAATGGTTTAGATACATATAAAAATATGTACAATAGGTCTGGCATGCGCCTCCTGTTCGGCGACCCCGCTCCATCTCTGTGTGGAGTGAGAGGACAAGTGCCCAAAAAATAACAATTGTAAACCGCTTTGTGACTCTGGTCTGTGAAAGGCGGTATATAAATACTTACTTACATGGCCTCCCTCTTTTGAATAGAGGCTGGGCTGAACGTTCCAGTCCATTTGGATATTTAACATAAACTTGTATGCTTACTATATACATGCTTGCTGTCAGAGGCAGATTGTTATCAACATGTATTACTTCTTCTATTTTGCCAGCATTAAGCAGACTCTTTTTCACCCAGTCATCAAAGACAAGAGAAGATCAGGGAAGAGAGTCTCTCTGCAATGACTTAAGTATTACGGGCTACACCAAACTGACCACAGTCAACATCAGGATTTATTCTGGATTAAATCATACCCAAACATCAACATGTGTGAATGCAGCCACAGTTGTGCCCTCATCAGCTCTGTCCTTGTCTTGTCACTTTCAATTGTGCTTAAAAGAAAAATGGGATTCTGATGGGTTTTGGCACAGCTCAGCCTCTGTATATATTGCTGTAGCCATAGTAATCTTAACAGCTGAATCAAAGTTGGCACAATATTATACAACCACTGTACACTGCTTATGTTAAATTATGTGTTTGATTATGATGGCAATTTTGAAAAAAGTGTGGCAACTGAGATCAGATATTATCCATCAACGTGGACAGTGTATGAAAGAGAATGAAAGATTAAACATTTTTGATGAACTGTCAATGTTTTGTTCTCCCTGCTGTTTTACATCAGTCGCATACTCTGCTTTAAAGTCACTGCTTGTTAAATCTGTGTGATAAGAGTATTCACGTTTTATATTATTATTCATTTTTCCTTCCACCCTCCACCGTTTTTTGTTATATTTCTTTTCTTTGGCACTTTTTCTGTTTACCACCATGCTCACCATTTCTTGTTATTCTCAATACCTCATATTAGATTCTCCGCTTATGCATATGCTCCTATGTTCTTTTCTGTGTGTGTGTGCAAATGTCTACTCGCAGCTGTCCAAGAAGAGCGGCAGAGGAACAAGGAGAAGGAGGCAGCAGAGGTGGAGTCAACCAGTGCAGTGAATGAGGACATGCCGGTGGAGAAGATTCTGGAAGCAGAAATGGCCGTGGAGCAGAAGACAGAGCTCCACGCCGATGGCAGCTCTGGAGGCAGCTCGGTGAGTTCCCACAGCGTTGAGCCTGCACTAAGGTCAATCGTTAAAAGTCTGCGGCCACAGAGGATGGGGAATGCTGTTTGAGTTCATACAGCAAACAACAGCAAGTGCCCCGTGGTCACGAGCTTTTTAAACTTGAATAGCCAGAGGGCCTACCTGCTCTGTCGCCATCTTACACACGCATGTGTCCGCAGCATTCTGAGTGTTATTATGGGATACATGGGCGGGTCATTCGGCACATGCGACAAATGCAATATATTTTTTTAACACGATTAATTAAAACATTGAATTAACATGCGTTAACGTAATAATTTTACAGCCCTAATTTTTATAAATGTATTTTTCCTCAGCCCAATGACCCTGTGACCAACATCTGTCAGGCAGCAGATAAGCAGCTTTTCACGTTGGTGGAGTGGGCCAAGAGGGTTCCCCATTTCTCTGAGCTTCCTCTGGACGACCAAGTCATTCTGCTTCGTGCGGGTCGGTTATTTAACAACGTAGTCCTCATGTGTTAATGTTCCAACTGTTTTCATCTGTTTTAACCCTTTAATCGTTTCCTTAACCATTTGTAAGATCACCTTTTGAGTAAATATATCTGCTTTAAGCTTGAAACTGAAATACAGTACACCTCATTGGGGCATCCCACTTGGTTTTAGGAACTTTTACCATAAATCTGCATTGCAACCATTTGGTAAAGGCCTATAATACAAAAAAAAAAGAAAAAATTACCTTGCTTTCTTTAAGGAGAGAATGTTAGGATTAATTCACTAACCTCTGATAGAGGTTATAAAGTGTGAGACTAATTCATTTGAAGAGTATATGTGATCTTTCATGTTTTCACAGGCTGGAACGAGCTGCTGATTGCATCTTTCTCTCATCGCTCCATCTCGGTCAAAGACGGGATCCTCCTGGCCACTGGGCTGCACGTGCACAGGAACAGTGCTCACAGTGCAGGGGTTGGGGCGATCTTTGACAGGTAATATTCAACAAGGAATACAACCTTGAGAAACAATTTGCGTTCCACAAATGTATAGAAAATTTGATTTAGTTGAGGGTTTTCTGCAATGTAGTTATTTTAATGTATCATTATGCTTTGCTTCTGGTTGGCTGCCGTTTCCTAAATCTATCGAGCTGATTGGCTTAGCAGTTTTGCTACTTTGTCCATGGGACACACAGCGCATGAGAGGCTGGTGACTAATGCTTATAGAGCCGCATGTACACATGCCCCTTCGACCTGATTAAAACTGAGCACCTTTTGAACCATGGAATAATAGCAGTAACTCAGTATTGGTTTGGTATAAACACTGCAGTGCATTTATGTACTTCTTCCTCTTATCTTGCTTAATACACTGGTAATGACTTTTATTGTATGTTCATAAATATAGAATCAAATTTCTTCTAAGGACTAAAAACATTTTTGTTTTAACAGCTGCTTCTTAAGTGTAACTGAGATGTTTCTAATATTTTTACTTCAGATTCTTCAATTCACAGCATTACAATAATTACTTATAATTAATAATTGAGCTTTTCTGCTTTATTTGTGTCATTAGTCATTAATCAGAAAGGTTCTGTGAAAACCATGTTTATGTTTAATATGAATATCCAGAAGACTGACTACAATTAAACTACAGAAAAGTGAAAACACAACAAGCAGTTGTATCCAATTCTTTGATCTTTCAAATGAACATAATAAATATAGAGACATGTGTGATGTGGCTGGGACTTTATGTTATGTTATACACAATGTGGGAATTGGCAACAACAATGTAGCTTTAATGTGTGTAAAGTCGGAAAGTTGTGTTTTCTGCTGATCTAAAATGTTGGTCGTGTCTTGTTTTTAATTTATTAGGAGTTCTGTTTTATCTTTGTCTTCTTATTCAGTTTCACCTAAGATAAAGGGAGTAGGGACTGATGGCATTTAAATCTCTCCTTCACTCTCGTTTTCAATTGAAAGCATTATATACATCTTTTTTTCTTCTCCCCTTGTATTTTTACATAAAATAGAGATCATCAATAGTGAGACATTTTGACACAGAATAAGCTGGTTTATAACCGGACTAAAGTTACTGTGTGACTGTGCAATGCCTCTGTAATAACACATGTGATTGAACACACAGGCCGCACAATGCTGAGGTTGGGGCCATATTTGAAAGGTAATTATTTCACCACACAAACACTGATTTTAACCCCTTCCTCTTTATCCAGTTTTGGCTAAACCACTCATTTCCTTCGTAGACACAAGTACACTTCTGATTTCAATCACTGTTGAATAAATACAAACTTTATGGATTTTACTGTTAGTAAACACAAAATAAAGGCTTGTAGTACTGCTCTGGTGAATTAAAGCGTATAATAATATAGTATTTTATATAATATTTTTGCACCTATATATATTAGGCTTTTGCATTACATCTCACCAGCTTCTCCCTCTGCATGTGTGTCTAAATATGGGCATTTTGTCATTCATATTTCTATCCATTCAATTTAAGTTAATATCAATCTTGTATATTTGTGTTCATTAAATTAGTGGCTGTGCTCTGTGATGACGTCACGTAGACTGCTTTTGTGCCCCCAGAAGCTTAACCTTTTATCACAAAGCCGTAACTATTTGACAAGGTGTATTTGGAAGGATGTATACCTCATTACTTTGCAACGGCAGCTGATACTTATTCATATGGGAGAGTATCATTCTTAACCAAGTGTGTGGCCTTGCTGTACGTGTATTATGTGGTTTGTTTTACGCTGGTATTCACACTGATCTCCTTTATAACTTTGATTCTTCACTGTTTCATATTTGTCAGAGTTTTGACGGAGCTCGTGAGTAAGATGAGAGACATGCAAATGGACAAGACGGAGCTGGGCTGCCTGCGAGCCATTATACTGTTTAATCCTGGTACCATTTTTAAACACAATAGATCCATCCATTTCATTAATAGGAGTGGGAACTGGCAAAAATGTGAGGATTTTATAGTACTGTGATAATTGGATCACAATTTAATCCTTAACATATTGCGAAACATGTCCCTCATATTATTCAATAACAAGACAAACAGTAATGTTAGTGGGTCGGTTGGTAGAGCATTGGCCTTAGAGCCTGAAGGTCATGGGTTCGAGCCCACCACAAGACCTACTTCCCAACTCCCACTGATGACTGTTGTCGTGTGTCCTTGGGCAAGACACTTAGCCTCACTTTGCCTGAAGCAGCTCTGACTGTCACCCCCTCGACCCAGAAATGGATTAAGGGGGAAGAAAATGGATGGATGGATGGAACATTACAAACATGAAGTAAAATAAGACTCAACTCAATTATCACATTTATTATGGTCTGCACATGAACTGAAGCAAACACTTTGGAGGGTAGTTAAAAAAATGTATTCTTGAGTCACAAGAAACCGACATCATAGAGTTACAAAAAGCAGACAGAGTTACAAAAAGCAGACATCATAGAGTTACAACAAGCAGACATCATAGAGTTACAACAAGCAGACGTCATAGAGTTACAACAAGCAGACGTCATAGAGTTACAACAAGCAGACATAGAGTTACAAAAAGCAGACGTCATCGAGTCACCACAAGCAGACATCATAGAGGAACAAAAACCTCAGATGGAAACTTTGTTCCACTGTATCCATTTAAATGCGTGTGCAAAATATCGCCCTTCCCACCACTATTAATTAATTTTCATAGCTATAGTTAACTTTGTATATCGGGAGAAAGTTTCATTTTATATATATTTTTAAAACATATTTTTGTTGTTTAAGATGCCAAGGGGCTGTCGAACCCCAGTGAGGTGGAGCTGCTGAGAGAGCGGGTGTATGCGTCTCTAGAAGCTTACTGCAAACACAAGTATCCCGACCAACAGGGCAGGTATGGTTCTGCATGTTGTTCGGACTTGTCCTGATATGGTCCCCGACTTCGGCCTTGTCTCACTTCTGTTTAATGTGTAAGTGTGAACACATGATGAAGATCACGCTGAAGTGTTAAACACTTTGGCTGACCAGGCTGAGGAGAAATACTTAAAATATATAATACAGCCTTTTCTCCGTCTGCTCACAGTGAGAAGTAGGGATGGGCAATCTGGGAAAAATAAATCATTACTGATCTTACGCAAACACAGCAGTGTAACAGGTTTGACAAATACTATATTTCTGCTCTTTATTTAAAACACCACATGGGGCGATAGTGGCTCAGCTGGTAAAGCATTGGCCTGTAGGCCTGGAGGTCGTGGGTTTGAGCTCACCATAAGACCTACTTCACGACTCCCACTGATGACTGCTATTGTTGTGTCCATGGGCAAGACACTTAACCCCACTTTGCCTGTAACCCTCGCTGAAAGATCAAGGCTCCTGTGGACTCACCACCTGCAGGAGGATCAGTGAGGGGCTTTTGTTCTGTGTACTGGGTGCAGCTCTGACTGCCACCCCCCGACCCAGAAATGCATTAAGGGGAAGAAAATGGATTGATTGATGGATAAAATCAAAAGCAATTCAAAGCAATTCAAAGCAATAATATTAGGGTGCATTCACATATCTCTTGGTCAAGTGAACTGAAGGGACCACTGGACCTGGGTACACTCGAAACAGAATTGGTCCAAATATGACTGAATTGTGCACAAACCCTTGTTTCAGTGAAATCTTTGCGTGCAGTCACACAATACAGTCACACAAGTTACAGCCAAAGATGCAATATGTATAGTGTTAAGGTGAAGCGAATTCTCAGCTGCTTTCTCTGCTTGAGCAAATGATTGGAACAAAAGGGACTTTCTTTATTTGAGGTTGATAGGATCAATAGATCAGAAGAAATCCAAAAGATTTCAATGAGATCTTTGGGCCATATTAACCCCATGATGTTATGCCGAGACCGTGTGCCTTGTCCCCAGTTTGCAAGTACCATTTATGTTTTACTTGCCCAATGTCAAGAGTTACTTGCCCAAATATGTATCAATACAATGAGTTAACAAGAGTTTGGCAATAAAGTGGCACTAAATGTGTGGAAAAAATATAAAAAATCCACTCTCAGCCCAAAAAGTTAAATTATGACTCACAAGTTTGCAAAATAAAAAAAACAAGACACCTGTTATGGTGTGTTATTTTTATGTTTGATTTTTCCACAACATTTAACTTTTGTGCCCAACCAATATGCATTGTTAATGCATGCAAAAAGTTAGGTACCCGAGCTTTAATTTTGTGAGTTTTGATTGCGCTTCGGAAGGAGACACGGGGGTTGGTCCTCTCCAATGGTTCTATCCGCGTGTGTCTATGGTTCTGTCCGTGGGTCTATGGTTCTGAGGTCGTTACCACGTTACGAATGTGGGTTCGCTGAGCTTGCACAAAGCGGTTGTCATTATAAAGCGGCTGCAGTTGCTCTCGGGGTCAGAACGGAGGATGTGAATTCCGTTTGAGTACGTAACGCAAACAGCAGCAAGTGTACTCGGTCACACAGTGGAAAAGAGTTGGAAATCGCGGATCCACAAACAAATTTAATCTTTGGGGTATCCCTGATGCATTTCATTGTTTTTTTTTTTTTAGATTTGTTCAAAAAAAGATAAACAGACGTGTCTGCTCCTGGCTCTAGAGGAAGAAATGCGTTCCCGGCCTGAATGGGTTTAAGTAATACATCACTTGCCCGATCGGGCAACTTGCCCATCCCAAATCTTTAGTTGGCCCGGGCAAGCGGACAACCGTTAATGTCGAGCCCTGCTATAGTGAAGTGAATGTGGTAGTGCAGTGTTGGTGACCACAGAATGAATACTATGCAACCTTTCCTGTATTTGTGCCTCTTTCATTCCTGAAGAATAAAGCCTTGTATTTTCCGCCTCTCGCAGGTTTGCAAAGCTGCTCCTCCGGCTCCCAGCACTACGCTCCATCGGCCTGAAGTGCTTGGAGCATTTGTTCTTCTTCAAACTCATCGGAGACACGCCTATTGACACTTTCCTGATGGAGATGCTGGAGGCTCCTCACCAGCTCACCTGAGAGAGCCAGGTTTGGTCCAGATCCGGATCAGACTAGGATCATCACATGCTCTTACCTTCTGGATCCCTCTGTAGGGATTTTACTGCTGGGTCTAATGCGGCTCCTTCTTTGAAACCACACCCAAAATACAATGATTCACTTGACAAATATTTAAACAAACTTAACTGCAGTTGCTCTCTTCACTAAACCTATTTAATGTAATGTAAACTTAGTCTCTCAATTTAACACCCTCGGCTTAGTCTTCAGGATTAATTTTCTCTTCCAAAAATATTTCACCCCAGTTGCTAGATGTTTTTATACATTTAGATTGGTTTCAGTGCCCCATAATGCAGTTTTAAGGTATGCCCACAAGTTAGTTGTCTCTTAACTTTGAGAAAATAAAGGAAAACCAATATTTGTATTGCATTCAATCCAATTTTCAGCATAAAACTGACGCTGCAATCTTTCTACTGTGGTGTGTCTTATCAACGTCAATGCACCTCAGTGGTTTTTTTCCAATTTGGTATTTTAATGTTTTTTGCATTTGAAATATAATATTGAAACTTTTTGAGTTTCTATTTGAAGTACTGTACTCATGAAATGAGAGCTTTTTTCAAGGCATTGATCCAGGAACTGTGGGTGGAACACAATCGTGAACAGACTGATTGAGTCCCACTCACCCTGACGCGCACAGCAGCTTTGTAAGGCAAGAAGAATGACTTGAATCCTTTTGTTTTATTGTTATGTTGTTATTGGTCCTCTTCTTTGGCATTTTAAAGTATGAGAGGCTAAGAAGTATTCGTCATGTCCATAAATAGTATTTTTATCTTTAACCCCTGCTCTAAATTTCTCCTTTGCTGGTGGTCATTATGCACTTTTGTGAATTGTATCTGTGAACTTGTTCCTATTTCCCAAGAAATTTCAATCTATCTTATAATTTTGAGGGTGGTATGTGTAGGGCTTTCTGATTGCTGCATCCTGGACTTTTACAATGGCTACATGCAATATTTCTTTTTCCACAAACAAATCTTTTTCCCAAAAATATATACAGTACGTGTGTGTGTGTGTGTGTGTGTGTGCGTGCGTATACTGTATATATTGTTTACCATATAATTCTTTTTCATGTTTATTTAAAATTGAGATTTAAAATGCTACATGTTGCTAACTGAAAATGCTACACATACTGCCAAAACTCTATACTCCTTCTGTTCTGGTTCAGTGCTCTCAAGTTGTGTACAGTCATTGTAAATAATTACAAAATCTCCAGAATCATGTGAAAACAACGATTGCAATCATTTAAAAGAACACGTGTCAAATAAGACATTTTAAACTCTTTTTACTGAAGTCTCTGAGCCCAGAGCCACACCACGCCTCCATGCTCCTTTTGCACCACCAGATGCCAACTTTCCCTTTGTTTTTTGTATTTTTTTATTGCTCAGCTGGAAATTTTACAACATTGGCACTTAAAATTTTTTCTAATATAATCAAGATTGTATAGAATATGTTGTGTTCTTGTTCTTTATTTGTAACACCATTACCAGTTTCTCTTTAAAACACATGGCTAATAATTATGTCACTTTCTTGCCTTTTCTCTATGGGGCTGTTATTGCTTTGTCTGGGATCCTTAAATGTATCCTAAAAAGTATAACATTATATGTATGCATACACCTATCCACAGACCGGGCATAAGCTGATGGAGATCATAAAATCAGATAAAAGTATTCTAAACGTGTCATGGTTTAAATAACTTGAACACAACCTATTCTGTAAGTACGTATGTAACCTTAAGCCACTGAAAGATCCAAGGATTATATTTGATTTGCCATATATTTAAACCAAAATCATTTACTTTCATTCAGAAATCATAGTTGCATAATTATGTTCAGGTTTCCTTCACTGAATAGTTGTGCTAAACATCTTCCACCATCCTACTTGTGAGAGGTACATGAATCTCTCTTCCAGGTGCTAAAGCAAATATGCACATTTACATCAATGCAAAAACAGTATGCAACGATTCAGACTAATCATAGATTTAATGGAATTTGTGCATTTTGGATTCTTATCTATCCTATGTACTTTTAAGCACCAGCATAGTGCTTGTGTAGTATTTTTCAGTCTGTTATTCTTCCAGATTCTAGTATTTTGTACAATGGGAAAAGGCAATTGGCAAATGAATGGTTTTTGATAGACAAAGAGCTTCCAACGGAATAGTCAAAGAAATTGAGTTTGTGATAAAGAATGATTTCATTAACCTTGTGCTAACGGATGCGTTGTTCATGCAGACACCCCCAGATTCTGAAGGATTTTTCCCACACTAACATTACGTTATTACCATTTGACATTTGATCCTAAATGCAGTCTGACCAGCCTGACAGTCTGCTTCCAGGATGAAACTGTAGTACTCTGGGGGTTTGGCACTTGTTTGTTTGCTTCGACAGCTGTAAAATTTTTAGAAAGCTGTGGGGTTCACCGTGTGCCCCGTGTGAGAGTTAGTTTTGATCGCATACTTTTGAGAAGAAGTTAAACTAATTATTCAGTGACTATTCTGATATTTTGTTGCCGTTTTTTTGAGCTTTTTCTGCTGATGAATGGGTCCGGTGCATTATACTCATTATATAATGGGGGAGGGAGATAAGGCATAGAAGCAACTACCAAATCTTGAAATTTGGTATTATTGTCTGATTGTAAATATCCCCCTTGCTGTTGCTTCAAGGTTTGTTAAGCCTCTCCTGTATTTATTTAGTATTTGCTCAGAAAAAGGTACAAAGAAAAAGGAGTGTTTGATGTTTTTTGTATGCCACTTTAGTGGATGACTTAGCAAGGGCTCATGTTTATGGTAGTTATTGTGAGTAGTCTGTCGATAACTGCTCCTGAGTGTGACTGACTGCTGAAAGGTTGATCTGTGATGAAGAGATTTTTTTGAATCCAGAGCAAATGCACAGAGGAATAAGAGCCAACCTAAAGATGAGTTTGTATTTTGAATGCGATCAAAGGCAGTCTACAATTTACTTAGACTTGGCTCAGTCTCATCAGCTTTATCCCTACGACTTATTGACTTGGCTGAGAGGAAGTTAACACAGAATAAGCCTATAACTCTTATTATGTTTGAATCAAGGGACTTTGTCTCAGACGGCTTCACTTGAAGGCAGAACCCAACATTTTGTGGTTGCCGGTGGTTACGGTTGGATTGCTCATTGATGCCTCAAAATGTTTGTTGTTGCAACTGTGTGCACTCGAGGCAGACACTGCTGTGACCTCTGACTGTAGAGCAGCAGGTGTTGTCTTTTTGTTAAATTTCCAAAATCCTTTGTTAAGCGTTTAGATGAAACAAAAGCTATTTTTAAAAAGGTCGCAGCCTGTGAATGGTTCATCTTAATGTTACAGTCACCAAAACATCGTTTTCCTTGGCTATTTAAAGCTGAGGTCAAAGGCCTCAAGATCATTTTCATCACTGCCAAGTTGTTTATTCAAATGGATTCTTTCATACAGCCACTGAAGCCCAGTCCTTTTGCACTTGTGTGATTGTTGTTCTGCACATAAATGCAGGTGTGCAGTGGTAAAAAAGTGTCCTCATGTTGTCAGAACAAGTCATTGTGGAGGCGGTGTATGTAGGCGACAGAGGATCAGACTTATCTAGATCTAGAGCAGGTCAGGAGCTGGATCTGTGGCAAATCTGGATCTGGATAATATGATGTTTACTGTAATTGTAGATCCACAGGGCTATGCAGCACATTTGTACTTGTGGCTTGGTGGCACAGGTGGACAGTGAAACAGAGGGATTCAGTGCCACCTACTTATAGTGACTGGTATTTTGCAGATATTGATGCCGAAGTAAGTTTGAGGTTTTGTAGAAATTGTAATAAAAACTGGTTGGGTTTTAATCTGATTAGTTTAACAAGAAAATGACAAGTAGATTGCGATTCTTCCTTAAATGTTTACTTTGCGGTAATTACATTCACACTGTTTTTGATGTGTCTCTCCTCTGACTATTCTATTTATCTGTTGTTTATTTCAAAGTATTAAACAAATACAAAGCTGTAAAATCAGAATGGACTCTCTGTTGTATTTTCTTTTGACGTCTGTCCTGTTTGTATTCTGCATTAAACACATGAGGTGTTTGAGGTAATAAAAGAAAAAACATGAATAATTTTTTATTCAATCTAAATTTTGCTTCTGTTTGTTGTATCATGTCTGAGTAAAAGTTTTAATATTGAACACCAGTTGTTGTTCTTTGGTTTCTCTGTATCACTTTAGGATGGCTTCCTTTTGTTCATATACTCAAATACTCATATACTTATAAATACAATCTATAATTGTAGACTACATTTGTCACATTTTTGGCAACAAAGTAATACACATACTTTGTACAAAAACCCTATTGTTACATTTTAGTCATGTTAAGAGGTTGCTCGTCCTGTGGTACTTGTGACAGTGTGAAGTCCAGCACGTCTGGACTGACGCGTGCGAGTGTGTCCTCTGTCCAGCAGGACCCCAGGGCCCTGACTGACCCTGCAGCTGCACCTGCATCTCTCCACCGCGAGAGGGAGCGCGTTCATCTGCAGCGCACCTGCTCAGACCAGTCCTGGCGCCAACAGGGGAAACTCGGTGAAACTCCTCACTAAACATGCAAAGTTATTGTTTTGCGGTTTATTTAGTTATCAGTAAATATTTTGGTATAATTTTAGCTAACGCAGCACAATTTTTTAGCATAGACATCCCCCTCACGTTAGCTTCAGCATCGGGATACTCGTTAGCTTATGCTGCGGCTTCTGTATTTAACCGTCACAGTTGATGTTTTTCAGAATTTTGTCTGTGTTTGTCCAATTAACGATGTGACTTATCTCTGTTACGCGTGTAATTGATATAATTTATTTCACGTTGATCTCACTTTAGGTAAAGCTCTGAGGAGGCGGTCTCCACGTGTGCAGTAACGTCCATTCATCACCAGAGGGCGCAGGTACAATCCCCTCTCTGTTTTGGTCGTTTCAGCAGAAGACCCTGTAACCTCTGATCCAGGAGAA